TTGGTATCAGTCCTGTCTTCGTTTGTCCAACTCCTGTTGGTGTTGAATACACGTTGAAAATGGTAGTAGTATACCTGGAGAACAAGCCTTTTTAGTTATCTGGCCTTTGCCATTCTTTAATCTGTTATCCTCAATCTGGGCAGGTAGGGACAATCATTCTAGGAATCTAGGTTTGAAAACGGATCCCTATCAACACAAAAAAATTAATGAATAAAGAGAAGCTAAATCTTATCCGTACTATTCACCCCGTCGAGTTTTTCTTATCAGACATGCACTTAGTCTATAAATAATTTAGGGTAACCCTTCTGAAGAGAACGCTTTCGCCTGTAGCTGGTAAGTTTTGCTGAAGAATGCAGGTCAACGTAGATAGGTTGACAACAGTTGAAGCCCCACCAAGCATGTTCATTACTACAATCTGCAGTTGAATGGCCACCAATTGAGAAGCTCCACCCGTTAAAAGGCCAGTCGTTGCACCAGGAAGTGATATGAGTCCTACTGTCTTTCATTATCCAATGCTGGAGAGAGTTCAAAAATCAGTGTTCTTTTCATCTGCCGATGTGTTGCCTGTTGAGGAGTTGCCCCAAGAGCAAGTGCTGTCTCTACCTGAAAGAAGTCATGAAGTTGTTGATGTACGCAAATTGCCACGTCTCTATAATCCCAAATTGTTGCAAGGCGTGGATACGAATAAGGAAGAGAGACGTGATATAATTTATTTATTGTCCATGTTGTTCTGTCTAACATAAACAAGCCATATCTGTATTTTTCATTACTGTTTGGCTGTAGATTTGATTTCCAAGAACACGACAATGTTCTGAACTAAGAGCAATTACAGGCACGTTTACTATGATGAGTTGCATAGGGCTGGGAAAGGACTTGTGGGAAGATGTTTATTGGTTGTCTAGTTCTGTCTAATCTAGCATGCGAAATCGTACCATAGAAGTATTATTTAGCTGGGACAAAATGAAGAAATGACTTCAAGCTTGTTGTCATTAGGTTCAAAATCAAATGATATGGCACATTGTAGAGAAGAACTACAATACAAGAAGGGGTATTGTGGTTTAAGGGCAAAGCTCGAGAGAAACACTCGTGATTCTTAACCTTTTTATGTTGAAAGATTTACCCCTACTCATTCAGGGAAATTTATTAAAGGATCTACAATTGTGGGCAGTTTTATTGTGACCTACCAGGCTCGTTTGCATCTTGAATTTCATCTCCCAAGTTTTTCATTGCAACTGCGGTGACTGTCGTTGAATTGTCAACCATCATCCCTTTGCAGGGATGATGTACTGGGGAGTAAAAGGGAAAACTTTACGATTAACAACACTGAAGACCCAGCCAGAATCGACACTCCTGCCATATACTCCCCGCGTTGTACGTGCTTCGCTTGTCAACCGGCTGTATAACATCACAGATACCTGCAAGAGAATCAAAACCAGATGACAAGAATCAGATGTGATTATACGCCCTTGTGACACAAAAGCCAAGACTGTAAGTTGAATAGAGTTGTACTATGAAAGACGAGCCAGAATGATCCAATCGGCATTATGCTAATCGAAAATGAATTGCAGAACAAATCAAATGACAGACGGTTGAAGAAAAGCTTTGAAAAATTGAATAACTCTCCAGCCCGATTTCTATGAGTACGACAGTGCCGCCGCCATAAGCACGACTGCTAGCACCTCTACTGGGTTTGCCATGCCCTTGAAGAAGAATAATGCTCCTTGGACATGGGAAATGACATGAATGGGAGAGACAGGGTGGTGCGGCTGATAGTGATTGTATTTTTTTTTATTTTTTTTTCAAACTGTCCAATCATGTACACGTATTCTCTCTGTTATTAAGTCTGTCATTGTAGCATAACTCCTTGGAGAATTCCCCAGCCATTCCTAATCCATTGGACAAGATTTCTTAGTGTAAGGTGACTAAATTAACACCTTCCTAAGATGAATCCGGCGACTGTTCCGGCGACCTATTCGGCGACTGCTCCGATTCGGCGACATCTTCGACAACCGTTCCGGCGACTGCTCCGATTCAGGTGAGACCGTTTCCGACGACTCTCCGAATCCGGCGAATATTCCAGTGACATGAGTTTTTTTGTATGGTCACAGCCCAGGTCACAGGTCACAACGCATGATTTTTTGCTTATAATGATTGATAAACACAACAAGGCTCATGTCTTGCATTTTTGTTCATAGTCACATATTATTTTCAAAAGGTCACAACACAAGTCACAAAATATATTGCACATGGCTCACGATTTTGTTCATAGTCCCATGTTATTTTCAAATGGTCACATTACAAGTCAAGATTTTGTGCATAATCCCATGTTATTTTCAAACGCTCAGATTTTTGTTTGTAACATATTATTTTCAAAAGGTCACAACACAAGTCACAAAATATATTGCACATGGCTCACGATTTGGTTCATAGTCCTATGTTATTTTCAAATGGCCACAGTACAGGTCACATAATATTTTTGCGTATGGCTCAGGTTTTTGTTGATAGTCACAACATAGGTCATTGAATATTTTGCACATGGCTCAGGTTTTTGTTGATAGTCACAACATATGTCATTGAATATTTTGCACATGGCTCAAGTCACAGCATAGGTCACAGCACATGGCTCCATTGGTCACTGCATATGGCTCAGGTCACAGCATAAGTTACTGTACATGGCTCAGGTCACAGCATTGGTCACAGAGAAGGTACAGCACTACCGCACCACCACCGTCGCCGTCTCACGTACCCTAACCCTACTCTGCCAATGCTGCCACAACATACAACTCACCACAACCACCATCGTTAACGTCGCCAACACAGCCTCACTATAAGCGTCGCCGTCGCCGTCAACACATCCTAACCACTCCACGAGGTGCCACCATCAACACCAATGACGCCTCCACTACCACCCACCACAAAACACCGTCAACAGAACCACAAGACCACCAAGGCACCTTTTAATACCCAGCACCAACACAGATTCGGCGCCTCCACCAACACCAAGCAGCCACCACAACCGCGAATCACCAACACCAACAACCACCAATAAAAACTACCTAAAAATTCCTGATACATCGACCTAAGAATGGCAACGTCGCGCGAGGCTGCCGCGAATAAGGGCACCACTAATTCCAGATTTTCACAGTCCATTCCCAAGACCCACAAACTATAGTCGACTGATGCGTATTAGGTGAAAATCGGACGCAAGAAACCAATCGGCAGGTTGTAGCACCAGACTGAAGGTCCCAGAAAACGCAAACATACCGTCGGAGGAAAGGACAACTTCCTGGACGAAGTGAGAGTGGCCAGTAAGTTGGCGACAGGCTACGCCATAGGTCCTATCTTCCTTAGTGAGATTCCACAGATTGATGGACTTGTCACGGGAAGAGGTGACTATCATATGGACCGTCCCAAAATTACTCCATCGTCGTCGCCGACGGTCACAGTGTCGCCACCACGAGAGAGAGAGAGATAGAGAGGGAGGGGAGGGAGTTTTGCTGAAAGTTGGGTAATTAGAGATTTATCCTGTGGGGGTGGGGGAAGGGCGTGGGTGGGGTGGATATAAATTAATTTTTATAATAATATTATTAATATTTAATTAAATTTAAAAAACTTGTATCTATATATAAAATATCTGATTTTTGAACATTAAAACTTGAAATCCGATTTTTGAATTTGAATCTTGAAATGTAGGGTTGGGTGTAATTACCACTTCTTTCAACTTACCGTGTTGCCTATGCAGGTGGATTTGTGGTGTTGAAGGCCATCTCTAACTATGAACATTGAATTGGTACATTTTTCCTTTATTTATTTATTTTAAATTCTCAGCAATTAATTTATTTTTAAAAAGAGTTAAATTATTTCAGATATTATTTAATTATTAATTATATTGTTATTTAAAAAGTATATTTAATTAACTTAAATATTGCATCTATTAATAAGTAAAAAAAAAAAAGCATTACACTTAATACAATAATTAAAAAATAATAGAGTTAAAGTAAATAATCAAATGTTAGAGCATGTTTGACACTTTTTAATTTATTTTATTGTTTGCTACATGATCATTTTCAACCACACGTTCACACAATAAAATATTCTACACGTATATAAAAAAATTTCATACTTTTTAACCACACATTTTCCTAAAAATCGCTGCTCAAAACTCTTTTTTCTACAAAATTGGTTGTCAATCAGACACTTATTTAGAAATAATAATCAAATTTAAATAAATTTAAATTATCAATCAATCAAAGGATATAATAGAAATTAAAATTTGTTATAGTATAAAATGAAGGGAAAAATAAGAATTGTGAAAAGCTCTAAAAATCACACCAAATGAATAGTGTTGCACCAAATTTGTTGAGATTTATTGTATGATTAGTGTGAATTTTTGCATCAAATTGATGTTTTTACACCAATTTTATGTATAACTGGAGATTGTGAATGATGAATAGAGGAGTCGTCAAGAATCATATGAAAATTGTGAATGATCAATAGAGGAGTCGTCACTCCTAGGTAGTAAGAGATTATGATCTACATTTTATCTAATTAAGTTGATAATGAAATCATTGATCAAGGTGAAATCATAAGTTGAAAATGAGTTTTCGACTTATATTGACTTAACAGTATGATAAAAGATATGATCGATAATTGAGATTGACACATATCCATATCTCGTAATTGATTGGATTATATTGACGAAAGTATTATAGTTTTACGGTAAACGAACAAGTTTAGTTTTATCATACCACGTGACATTTTTCGTCACTTGTATTGCCATTATACATTACTAGATGTCAATCTGAGACGATTAATGTGAATTAGTAATAAATTAAAAGGGGTATTTTAATTTATCGATTTTGATTAGATCAAAATAATAAATAATTCACGTCGTTGGCTATCGTGATTAGGAACCTAATGAGTCACACACAAAAGGAGAACTAGAAGAATGTGATTTATCAATTAATTAATTGAGTTGCTTGTTAATAGACCCGAATTAATTAATTGGATTAATTAATTCATGAACCAAATTTAATTAATTTGATTAATTAAATATTGAACCGAATTAAGTTAAACAATGGGCCAGCCCGTTTGGACTTGTATTAATAAGCTGCTAGGGTTTGGAAAAATTAGTAAAGAATTATTATTCTTGCTAAAACAAGAAAAGCAAAATAAAACCATAATTCTCATTCTTGTTTCCTGTGTGGATTTTCATTGGAGGCTGGACAATTGGATAGATGTGGATTGCAGTTCGTGTTCGAGAATCAGCAAAGGAGTTTGCACAATTCATCAAATGTATAATTTCTATCACAGTTTCTCTCTAAGCACAAAACAGATCATTGGTGGGAATTGAAATTGTTTTACTTTCGGCTGTGCATGATTAAATAAATTCCCAACAAACCAATGGTTTTGTAAGCAAGTCAACCAATTGATCTTTTGTGAAAGGAAGGAAACCTGAATTTTCTTCTGTAGTACTTATCTCTTAGGTAAAGAAAATCTATTTCAATATGTTTCGTAAGGGCATGAAAAACAGGATTTGAAGATAAGTATGTTGCACCATGTCACACTAAAGTTTCGAAAAACTTGGCAATTCATGGAGATCGTATAGAAGAGAAGGTAACCACTGGATTTCGGTTGCAGTGTTGGATAAGGACTTATATTCGGACTCGGTGCTGCTTCTAGCTACCGTTTGTTGTTGCTTGCAGCTCCATGAGATAAGGCTTTGACCATAAAACACGCAGTATGCATCGACACTTCTGGGATCATCACATCACCTGCCCAGTTTGCATCACTAAACCCACGCAGTGAATCATTAGACTAACATGTAAAACAGAGACTGAATAATATGGTGTGCTTGAGGTATCTAAGAATTCTCTTCAATGCCTGCCAGTGAGGAACTTTGGGTTGATGCGTGAACTTGCTAACCTGATGGACACAGAATGAAATATCCGGTCTTGTAAAACCTATATAATGGAGAGCACCTACTGTGCTTCGGTTTCAAAATCAATGCCTTCAAATTTTGAAAGATGACACATATTGGGCATAGGTGTTGTGCACGGCTTTACCTTATCCATTTGGACCTTACATAAAAGGTCAGCTACATACTTTCGTTGTGTGAGAATAATATTCGTACTTTCCGTAAGGTTTCTATACCAAAAAAGATAAGTTTCCTAAATCTTGAGCAAGACAATTGATTAATTGATCAATTGCTGTCGAATCAGAGCCAATGACAATTATGTCATCTGCATAAATAAGTATCATGAGATGAAGTTGCCTTTGATGAAGTGTGGAGAGAGAAGTATTAGCCTTGGATCCCTGAAAATCATATTCTTGCAATTTTTCAGTGAGTCTCAAAAACCATGCATGTAGTGCTTGTTTAAGACCATAATAACTTTTTCGAAGATGACAGACATAAGATAGAAAATCTGGATGAACAAATCCCTGTGGCTGTTGCGTGTAGACCTCTTTCTGAAGCATTCCACGTAGGAAAGCATTCTGAATATCCAATTGTTGTCAGGACCAGCCACGAGTGACAGCAATGGAGAGAACAAGTATGACAGTGCTTGGCCTGATAATTGGGCTGAAAGTTTCTGAGAAATCAACACCCTCTTGCTAGTGATAGCCTTTTGCAACAGGTCTCACTTTGAAGCGTTCGACACTACCATCAGCATGAGTTTTAATCCGATATACCCATCTGTTCCCCACAAGTTTTAATGTTGGACTTTGGTGGAACTAATTTCCAAGTTCCATTCTTGATCAATGCATTGAATTCGATGTTCATAGCATCACGCCATCTAGCATGTTTTGAGGCATCGGTGAATGAGGATGGCTCGGATGGTGTTGAACCATATTTGGCAAGATAAACTTGTGGCAGTGGATATTTGACAAAGCCCACTAATGGAGTTTTAGGCTTCAAGTTGTTTGTTTGTGACTGAGTTGTCATTCGTCTAGGGGGATTGGCAATAGGCGGACTAAAGTGTTGGTTGACAACACTAACTGTATCGCAAGTAGTTGTTGGAACTGGAATAAACATACCATTTGTGGCCTCATTTTTAGTTACTTGTCTTGATAATTCCTGATCAGATTCATTTTGGGATGGACCAGTCGAATATAAAGTATCCCATGTAGGAAGAGTTAGTGTGCATGTTTGTGTAAGATGTAAATTGAGAGTGAGTAATGTAGTAGTTGTTTGATAAGAGACATTGGAGTTGTCGAGAGTTTGGTATGGGAAATATGACTCATAAAAAACTTGCAAAATACCAAAAAAAAAAACCCTTGTCGATAAACTCAGACACTTGTAGCCCTGATTTGAGAGACTGTACCCAATAAAGATGCAAGTTTTGGATCGAAAATCAATTTTATGTCTGTTATAAGGACGAAGATTAGGCCTGCAGGCGCATCCAAAACTATGCATGAAATTAAAATTTGGAATTTTGTTATAAGCCCTTCAAAAGATTATTTTGTAAAATTTGTAGGCAAACAATTTATAATATAAGTAGTAGTTTGAAAGGCGTCTTCCCAATATGATTTCGGAAGTGAGAATGACCTAATAAAGCTAGTCCCATTTCCACTATTAGACGATGTTCAATAACTCCTGTTTGTTCATGCATATAAGGGCAAGCAATCCAATGTTGAATTCCACATATTTGGAAATAATTATTTAAACATCTATATTCACCACCCCAATCAAATTGAATAGATTTAATTTTTGCGTCAAAGTGGCTCTCAACGTAACTTCGAAATTGCATAAAAATTGTTTCAACATTAGATTTTTGCTTCAAAGGAAAAAACTAGATAAATTTAGTATAATGATCCAAAAAAATAGACATAATATATAGATCCATAACTAGAAATGACATAATTTAGTCCCCATACATCTGAATAAATCACCTCGAAAGGCTGAGTAGAATGACTAATAGAACTAGAAAAGGTAAATTGTGGTTTTGGTCGTCTCATATTCAGGACAAACATGTTGTCGCTTATTTGCTCCTACATGGGTTTTATTTGCATTCAGCACAAGGCTGATAGTACGGAAAGATGCATGCCCTAAGCAACGACGCCAATTTGAAATGGAAACTCGAACACCAAAAAAGGCAGAACAAATAGTGTGTTGGAGAGGTTGCGAAAAGCGGTAGAGGTCATCTTTGCTATGACCCTTGTGCAGAATGTTCCCGAAATAGTCCTTAATCAGAAAAAAAGTGTCATGAAACTCAAAATAAACATTATTATCTTGAGCGAATTTTGAACAAATAATAAATTATGTTGGATTGTTGGAACAACAAGAATATGGTCAGCCAAGTCAGGAATAAAAGATTTGGAAGTTGTGGCTAAAGAAGCATTGAAGTGCGAGTTATATTCAAACTTGATCCATCCCCAATTTGAATTTGATTAGTACCACCATAGTCATCACCACGAATGTTACGGTTGTTGAGATTGTTGGTTATATGGTGTGTTGCTCTAGTGTCAACAGCCACTCTTGATCACCTGGGTGCTAATTTTGAGTAGTAGAGAAATTGGCTTAGGCATTTGGTCTAGGTGGTGGTGGGTTAAAGTGAGGATCATAGCGCTTGTAGCACCTTAAAGCCGTGTGTCTTGTTTTGTCGCATATTTGGCACGGCAAATTAGAAATGAAAGTAGGACGGTAATTGCTATTACTTCTACCAGAACCACACCCCTACCTCATGGATTGGATGAATTGCCATGGCCACGTGATCCGAACCAAAGAAAGTTGGTGGCTTCATGGCAACATTTGCTGATGCATTGGTTATAGGCACCGAGTGGGAGCGATGTTGAATGCGAGCCTCATAGGTGAGCAACATGGAGTATACTTCCTCTAAGGAAATAGGATCTTCTCGGGATGAGATTGTGGTGACTAGTGAGTCATACTCGGGCCCCAAGCCAGTGAGAATATAAGTGATGATCTCGTCACATTTCATGGCTTGACCTGCCATTGCAAAAGCATCAGTCATACGTTTGATCTGCATGAAGTACTCGCTAGTGGATTGAGTGGTCTTGCGAGTATTGGTGAGTTGAGATCTCACTTGAATTGCTTGAGCCCAAGATTGGGAAAGACCATCCACATGGCATTAGAAGTATCACAGCGAGTGAGGTATTGAGGCAGCTTAGGATCAAGTTATCTTATGTTTTCCAAGTCTCGAACAAAGGGCTAACTTAGTTCCATCAACAACAGAGAGTTTCTTCAGTGGTTACTTTAGAGTTCCATTGACATACCCAAAGACCTTTTGGCCTTTCAGATACAGAAGCATTGTGGCATTCCAAGTTATGTAGTTTTGGCGGCTGAGTTTGGTGACGTTGATGGAGGATGAGGGATTGAAAACAGGGAGTTGGTCTATTTTTTCATCTTTATTCGATATAAGATTTTATCCCTTAATATGCCCCACAAGATGATAGCTCGTTTGAGCAGACCAATTTTGAAATCCGCATACTCATTTTTTGAGTCTTAATCGGATCGAATTGCTCATTAGAGTTTAATAAACTTTGATACCATGTAACATCTAACGTTGGATAGAATTGAAGGTTAATTTCATTGCCTTGAATTGTATACGTACAAGACTCCAGTTAAAATAATACATATGCCTAACTGATTACAAAGACTTGTGTAAGTGTGAAGCGTTTAAAACTCAAACTTGAACATCCCAGAATCGTGTCGCTCCAATCTGTTCAACTGAAGACTCGGTGTCTTCAGTTACAACTGCTCCAATAACTCTCAAGGCGGGTTTTATGAAGAATACAAAGATTTGTACAAGAAAATGTTGCTTTTGAAATATTTGAGGCCTAATGCAGTTACCATAGTCAGCATTTACAAACGTGTGCACATAGTGATCTTGTTTTGGGGTTTGAAGTGCATAGATATGTGCTTGAAAATGGGATTGAAATAGATCTTTCCCTTTGTAACTCATTTATGAGATGTAGTATCTTGGACTATGCTAGGGAGCTTTTTGAAGCAAAAAGTCTGCACGTATAGGGAAATTCAACAGGAAAATGCACAGAAAGACAGCTGTCTTCCTATGAATTTTCATGTTCAATTTCCTGTACTCATAGCATATCTCTTTTTGAAGAGATGAGTGAGAAGGTTGAGATTACGTATCGCGCAATTATATCCCTTGTACTATTCGTTTCGACTTGCTTTGAGAATTCCTTACGAAATGGGCCCCCCGAAACACAAGATGCTCCGTGTCAAGTTTGCAGATTTGTAAAGTATCGTCCATTTTGAATTGGATTGTATATTTTGGTCCCCCTCCTTCCTGCCCCGCAAATGAGATAAGTAGCTCGATTTATTGGCAGACAAAGATCAAAGAACACAATTATAACATTGAGTGCAGTCCAAGGCTCCAAGCTACTTTCGAATTTTATTCATGTCCTAGAATTTAGTAATTCCCGAGATTGTCTATTAGTATGTTGTCTAGATTCAACTGTACTGCAACTCCATTTGGAAACGTTCTTATTTATGCTTACATTTAATTAGAATCCAAAACATGCAAAATGTGTGTAAAAGTAAGTTATATTTTTGTCGGAAAAGACTTTCAAAATTACCTTCGGAAAGTAAAAAAAATAACTTTGAAGTACAGTTAAACATGCTCGACTATATCGAAAAAGGCCTAGAAATTCACAAGGGACGGTATAATTACTGCATGGCCCAGCTGACCATAATAAAAGTTGTATCAACAACGCATACAAAAAAATAAACGGACTCTGATATGAATACATAATTGTACCCATAGGGGTGTCCACGGCGCCCCACCAACCATAGCATTTTCCAAAATTAATGCCCTGAATCAAAGAATGCCTCTGACTTAGCTTTGCAGTAAAGCTTAGTGCTTTAAAATAATTAACCTATCATATTTATACATATGTGTCAGGCCTTTTCTTTCATGTACTAGAACTAGGCTCCACCTGCTCTTTCCTTTATGTTATTTTTGTTATAAGTAGCTTCAATTTTTTATTTATCATGGTATATGAATTGATAAGAAAGCCTGTCACAGGGTTGCATTCTATCTATGGTAAAATGTCCCTTTATGTGGTAAAAAGTCTTATAGTCACATTCCACTCAATATCTCAACAATATTATTTGCAATTGACATTAAAATTACTCTTAGATGAATATACTACGAATTCCAATGAGTTTGTAAATTTCAATTATTATTATTTATTTTTTGGTAGAAAATCATTTGATTCTCGTATGAAAATTAAAATCTAGAGACGATCTATTGTCCTAAGTTTTTAATTCTATGGCTACGGTTGTTCACTATCACAAATTTCACACATTTGTTATATAGAGATATGTAGTAGACAAACAACCATGTGAAACTTATAAGCTTGTGAGTTAGGACTTCCAAAAATAGCCTTGGCTGCCCCGTTGACTTTCTTACCATTAAAATTTTGACTCCTCACAATCTCACTACAATTTTGAGGGATCAATTTTTTTGTGAAAAAGAATGCTTTTATTTTGTTTTTACATTACAATATATGTACACTGAAATTTGATATCAACAAAAGCATAACAAGGTGACAAGATATTATTTGTAAGACAGTCGAGTTATGACAACAAATTTAAACTCGCTTTTCGAGCAAGTCTATTTTTCAATTTGTGTGTAATAGGTAAGATTCTCTTGTCATGTCAGCGGTAAGAGTTTTTATCCAATCATTTTCAATATTGAACAATCATCTCAACATTATATTCTTTTGTCCAATATATTGTATTGAACAGAATGACATGGAACACAACTCTTTTCAACATTTCTTTTTAAGTGCATTCCAACTAGTTTAACTATCAAAAGATTCAGAACATATTCATCCGTGGATGGTAAGCCCTCGTTTGATCCCCATTAAATTTATAATATATTTTTCTCTTTTCTTTTTAACCATACATTCTCTAATAAAATAATATTTTACATAAATGAAAAAAAAAATCTTTCTTTTTCAACCACACACACTCCAAAAAAAAAAAAATACTATTTCAAAAATTATAACATCAAATAATGATGGCCAATTGGGGGCCAAATTCACTCTTTTTTTTTTTTTTTATTTAAGAAAGTCGGTCTAAGTTGGTAGAGCAAATAGTTAGTGTCGTGTCAACAATAAATAACAACACGAGCATAGAGTGAGGTGAGGACATCACACCCACGTGAATGTACTTATGAAACCCTAAATCTCTCGTCTCAATTTAGTATTTCGACTTAATTATAAGTAATTTGACTTGTAAGCTAAGACTAATGTTCTCGAAATGGAATCAATTGCGACAATAAATGAAGAGTTACACTAGCAGAAGTGTGGACAGTAACGAACTTTAATGCAAATGAGATGGCAATTCCTTAGAGCAAAAAAGTCATTTATGGTGGGGCAAGACTCCCAACTTCTGACATAATTTCACAACATATTTGTTCTTTCAAAAACAAGAAATTCATCACCCCCCCGCCCCCACCCCACCCAAAAATAATCCCAATTTTTTTAGTTCCTATAAATCCCTCAATGATTTATAATTGTTCCTAAGGAATTTAGGTGATTAGGTTGCTTTGATAAAGGGCTTTGGAGGATCAAAAGGAAGTAAAAGATGACAGGGTCAGGGGGAGAAAATGCAGATGGAAAATGGAGGTAATTTAATTTCCTCTCATTAGTATGTGTTTGTGTGGGAAATTTACTCAAATCTGACGTGGGTTTTTTGTTCAGTGAGGAAAAGACTGATGGAGGAGAGAGTGTGAGGACAGTGGTTTGTCTTAGAGGAAGATTGCTTGCTGAAAGAATAGCTTCAAGAAATGCAAAAATGGAGGCTGAACACTTGGGAAACAAGGTATCTGTGTGTGTGAATTTTCAGACAGTGAATCTACATTTCCTGTATAACTTGATCAAGTTGAATTCATTTCTCTTGATCCCAAAATTATAACAAAATTCCCAACTTTTCAATTAATCTTGTTCTAGTTCCAATGTCTGAAATTTTCAGTTAATTGAGCTGGAAAATCTGTTGAAAAAAGAAGGCAAATCAAGAAACAGGGCAGAGAAGAAGCTAAAATCCCTAATGAAAAAGCTTGAATCCAAAAACATTTCATATGATTCATCTGAATCAGGCTTACTGGATAGGAGTGACATCACCTCTACATCGTCATCATCTACAGCCTCTTCAAAATCTGAAGATAAAATTTCGAAAATTTCCCCAATGAAAGATTTTCCAGTGTGTTCAGTGGAGAATAGCAAGTTACCAATAGAGTTTGATCATTTGAAACGCAATGATTCCCAACCAAGTATATCCAGTGAAAGCCATGGCAGCCCAGTAACTAAAAAGAACTGCACCTCAAGTGAACTGGATATCAAGCAAGGTCATCACCGTCGAGGGACCGAAGCCGAGAGATTCCCCTGTCCAGTCTTTAGAGCTGATCCTTTTCTCGAAGTTATGGATCCATGGTGTCAGAATTCAGGAAGGACCAGTGAGTTTGAGTACAATCAGAATTATAATATTGCAAGTACAGACGAGAGGTGAGCGATAGTACTATTTAATGTTGTTCAGTTATTGCACAATTCTTGATTAATTCCTGAATTAGAATTCGATTAATATTCTTCTTGATTAACATCCTACATACACGTGATTTTATGTACAAGAATATATGATGATCCAGTAAACCAGATTGTGTTCTGACAGAAATTGTTGTCCTTCTTAGCGTGTACCCTTCTGCAGAAGAGGAGGTGAACCAAGAAAATGATCAAGATCCAGAAAAGTACCAACAAAATGATGAAGATGAGGAAAATCATGTAGATAACTCGCTGGCATTAGTCCTGGTCGAGAAGCAAGAGACGAAGCAAACCATTGATCCAGAGGTTCTTGATGCTACTGTGAAAGAAGTGCTTGATGCTTTAAGGCATGCTAAAGAACAACTTCAAAGCTCAATGGAGAGAAGACGTAGACACACGAACATGATTAAAGTTGGCTAGACAAAATTATTCATGTGGGACGACAATCATAATATTGTCACGAGCTTAAATTAACTTTTAAGCACTATCTTGCATCGATGCATAGAGATGATAAGAGGAAAGTGTTTTTTCTTAACAAAATCAATCGGTTTATGCACTGATTTAGAGTTCAGACTGTTGATATTGTGGAACTTTTTAAATTTGGGTTTGATGTTGATTTTTTTACCGGACAAGTTGATACCTGTTTATATGGGATATTGTTGGAGCAATTACATAGCAAATAAGTAACTTTTTAATAAGTAGAAAAAAAGTAGCATACACAATGACAAAAAAAGGGTTACCATTAGAAGGCATATTTCAATCATATTCTACTATAGACGCAGAAAAACATTCATAACTTAAAGGGTTGCTAATACTCACACCGTCTTTACACAAATGACACAGAAAAAGAGTTATCTCCCTTACAAGATTATTTAAAAAGAAAAAAAGAAAACACAGGGGTCAAAGAACCTCCTCCCACTGATTTCTGCACATTCGATAACCTAGAACGTTTACCTGGTGAGACCATAAGTGATTGTCAAACACCTCCCGAGTGTTCCTATATCCCAAATGACCAACCATATCAAAGATTCTGAAATTTTAAACTGCTGAAAATGTTTTAACTCCTAAACCAAATTCAAAAACTGAACTTTCAAACAGACTCTAACCAAGCAATGCATTATTTTGAAGATTTTATGAGTGCAGACATATGCCAACTCTTCAGATATAAACGGCACAGAAATCAGGCAAAAACAAATTCTTATATAAGATAATGCTGCCTCTGAAATGCAACACAACACTAGAAATCATTTAGCACAGATCCTTAGTTCTTCTCCTGATTCTAGAGAGTGAACAATTTTTTTTTGTGAAAAATTGGAACTTCTGATTTTAAAACACATTTTCTGGATATTCAAACATAAACATAAATGAATAAAATATACAAATGCAAATATATATTTTTGGATAATAAAAGCCTGAGATGTCAGAAAAGCTATGCTATTTAATAAAACCTATAAAATCTAAACATAGCAACACTCCCTTCAGATTTGGATTAAAAAGAAAAAAAATGGAAAAAGAAGAAGAAGAAGAAGAAGAAGCAACATTCTGATATCTTAAAATAAGCACAATGATCTGGTCAAGTTTTAGGCCGCTATTGCTGATTATCAATCTCAAATTGAAGTGGACCACAAGTTGACACTAAGCAGTTTCCTGACACTGATAACCTTCAATAAGTTACTCTAGACTAATGGATGCAGCATGAAAGTGCAAAAGAGACATGCTCGCCTTAAACCTGTCACCCACAAAAAAAAAAAGAGGAGTTTTCTTGAAGAAGTCACACAAAACAAAGTTCCATAAAAAAAGGAAAAAGAGAAACCAAGAATGAAAGAAAGATGGGCTAGTGGAAAAAAATGTCATACACAAGACTCTGCAAGTTGATCATTTTTTCCAATCACTGCATTCAGTATTTTTGATGTGGTTGATATGTCATTTCAGATATAATATAACAAACAGTCGGTGTAATTGTCCCAGACCTCACCAGGTAAACCATAACTTGACACCGAAAACTAGAAAAATAGAAATCCCCTGATCCATGTCAATGGGGGTGAGGTAAAAGGGTGTAAATGCACAGAATCCATGTCAGAGAATTGTACGTAAAGCTACTGGGAGAAAACAAGACGTAACTAATATATAACCTGCCAACCTGAAAAAGGAAGAAGAGAAGGGAACATCAGAATCTTATGTACAGTGAGGTACATGCATCATTTAGAAAAATAGAAGTGCGTGGAAACCAAGCATATAAAAATACCTAGAAGCATATCTTACTGTTGAATAAAGACAACGGTTATTCAGGTTCCTCCACCAGCCTTGCTTGCAATAGCTGTCTTCTGAAATGTGCACATAGAATAATACAGAAGGGAACAAAAAGTTAGAAAGAAAATATAAACATTACTTCCTATATATAATGCATTTATATTAACTTACCACCTCATTGTTTCCTTCAACATTTGTTTTTGACAGAGAACCAGATTGTGGTTGTGAAAACCTGCAAAATAATGTTGGAATGGACACTCATCAGGCTTTGTTAGAAGTCATTTGTGAGCATATATATTTTTCACTTTTTTATTAAATAAAAGATAAATAAGTTGAACAAAACATCACTTAGATGTAGTATTTGTTCCATATAAGAACAAACTATAACTATGATTTATCTTTATAACAAAAATTTGAATTTGATGAAGTTAAGATCTTGTTTGTTTGACATTCTAAGGAGAACTTCCATTAAAATTAATTACTGGTTGGAAAAAATTACTACTTGAAACAACTTTTCCGTAAAGGAAAAAAAAACAAAAAACAAACAAACAATTTTTGGAAAACAATTTCAAACACAACCTCGACTAAATAAAAAGTTTCCTTGCAAATCCACTAAATTGCAGTATAAAAGATTCCCAGACTAATAACTGTACACAGTCTACTGTGTTATGTTAGACCGCTATCAAAATCAACAACCTTATTTCTCTTGCTTTCTTTTTCTCTTCCTCTGCCGAATCAGTCTTGGCAACAGATCCAAACCTAGCACCTCTAGCCTTCTTCTTTGCTTCCTCGTCAGCAGGCGCAGACTGTGCAATCCCAAACCTGAGGAAGAACAATAAAATGTCAAAGAAAAATATCTACTTAGAATCACAAGTCAATATCAGATGCACAAAGGCAACAACCTCTCTGCTCTAGCTTTCCTTTTCAGATCCTCTGATTGCTTTGAAAAATCTGATCCATGCAAGGCGGTACCAGTGCCAAACCTAGAGCATACTGATGCAATTAGAGAGGTAGACTCACTAAATATGCCACTATATTCTGTGGGATAAGCAGAAATTGTAATTGAAAGACTCTAAAGGCATGTTTGGATAGCTTCTACTTCTCCCTTTTTTATTTTGGTAGAAGAGCTTCTTGAGGAAGCCCTCCAAGAGGGCTCCTAATTCAACAAAGCACTTCCAAAAAATTATCCAAACATGCCCAAGATTTTTAAAAGCCTAAATAGTATTGTGGACGCATAGAGTCGTCGAAAGCAATAAGCATAGTCATAGGAGATAACCGGCAACTGACGTAGCAAGAAATAAAGAATAAGTTCAGTGCCAATAGCACTTTCATCAGCCAAGGCAAAGTATTCTACACTGACGGAAAGACTGAATGCACATTCATCGAAGATACCAAAATTCAAGACCTAATCACCTCAGTTATAAATAGCACCAGAAATCAACCAGTTAAATGATCACCACTGCCTAGACAAGCAGGATTTACATAATTCGGTTATATGGACAAACGACATCTAGAAGAAATGCTAGTAAATGAAGTACTGTTGCACTCCTATGTAGCAAATTAAGATTTCTTGAAAAAAAAAAAGAAAAGCAGCTAATATTTCTACAAAGGAAGTTGGAAATGAACACCGCAATCCGATTTAAAAGATCATATACACAATCCCTTCTACTAACAACATGTAAAAACAATTGAAAGGGGGAACAGCAAATTGCGGGTCAAGAGAGAAAACCCAATGGACTGAAACTTAGAAAAGCTACTCTTGTTTTCTTTTCATTGAAACGTGCGCCATTATTTACCATTTATTGCATGGAACAAAATTTTAAAGCAAAACCGAGCGGAACATTATTATCTCCAAATTTAGGCAAGAATCGTGGCTAAGACCCAAACCCTAATTTTCGTTTACGAGTACTCAAAATTATAACGAAGCAAGAATTTTATAGTGAATTAGAACACCTATCAGCACGAGAATTGCGCTTCTCTTCTTCAGAGAGCTGGACAGGCATTCCAAAGCGTTCGGCTCTCTTCACCTTCTTCTGAACATCAGTAGCCGCTGCGGCGCCGTCAACATCATCAGCTTTCCCAGCCTCCGTGGTCGGATTCACCTTCGATTCTTCGTCTCCGTCGGCGGACGAGAATGGCGGTTGCTGTTCAGTTGGATTAGGATCTGATGGAATTTTAGGGTTTTCGACTTCTGGTGCTGTTGCTGTTGCTGTCGCCATTGTACGTGTGCGCGCGAGTGAGATTATTCGAGCCGAAAAAATTATTTTCTGAGAATGTGAATATGAAGATTTTGCAGTGTAATTTTGCCTATAGTATTGGAATTGAGGATATAAGGGGCTAAACATGAAATTTTTAATAGATTTTGATGAAAATTGATAATTATTGTCATCCTAAAAAATTTGTGATTAAAATAACTTTTGACTTATATTTTTATAAATATTTTTAGCTAAACTAAACATGACTTTTATTATTGCTTTTTCTTGCTGCCAAGTGCCCATGAGTTACGGTGACAATACACGTTTAGGCGATTTATTCATCACAGTTATCGACCCAAACAGTGACCAATTAAATGGTCACTAGAATAGGTTGATCGATATTTATACATTAAAAGTTTAAAAATTATTAATTAAACTCTCTTAAATTGAATCGGTTCACTGGATTTTAGTTAAAATCTTGAAGTTTGCCTAGTTCAATCCCAATCAAAGGCCAAAAGGTCTTAGAATGTGTTTGATGGGTATTATTGAGAAAATAATATATTTTAAATAGTAATATGATGAGAAATATGTGGTTAAAAAGTAAGGAAAAATTATTGATGTGGTGAAAAATATTATTTTATTAAATAATGTGTGGTTAAAAATTAGTTTTTAAAAAATATATTTTGAAATAATGTGTACCAGAGTTAATATACAAATTGGTCCAGTGTCCATATCACCAGGTTTCTAATTCCAGTTTAATAACTATGAGCGTGTTCAGGAGAGATTAAAATCGGACTAAAATTGAAAAAATAGTCATTATTGTTGACTTTTATTAGACGGGTGAGACCCAATAACGGTTATATTTTCAATTTTAATTGGATTTTAAGTACAACCGAACACGCCCTATATGTCGTTGACAATTGATTACGAAGTGTGTCTGCAGACTGCTGAACTTAAAAATTTACATTTTTTTCA